GTCATTCATTACTGTCCAAAACCTCTTGATTAGAAGTGATCATGAGTTATCAGATGCAATCTCCAGCACCACCCGGGAGTCGTCCAAGTAAGTTTACGTATATAGCATTATGGAAAACAAGGGACTATCTGGCCCTTTAAAGTTGTTCCTGTATATTCACCTCTGAGAAAAAGTAAAAATTTTCTTCCATTTTTTCTTTCTGGAATTGCTATTCCCATCTTTAAAATCCTATACATTGATGACCTCCACTACTTCCAGTGGTAATTTATTCTACGGCCAATCATCCTGTTAGATGAATAAATGGTACCTAATCTGTCTTGTTCCACATCTTAAACTTATGTCCTCTCAATCTGTTCTTCTTTAGAACACAGGAATATGGTGCAAACAAAATTAGAGGCCTTCAGTTTCCCATATAATCTTGTTAACATGAAGATTCAATAGAAAATAATTTAGACATTTTAAATTATCTCCATAAAATAAAATTTCCATTCTCAGAATCGTCCTATTAGCCTTCCTTTGAACCCTTTCCAGTCAACATCCTTTCTTAGATATGGTGACCAAAAGTGCACGTAACATTCCTAGTGAGACCCAACTAGTGATTTGTGTGGAGATAAATACTTTTTGTTTTTGTTATAAATAATGATTCTTAGCACATGTATTCTTGTAATTGTGTACTCCTAGATTTGTAAATGAAAACTGTAAAACCGGATAGATAAGAAAAAAACAATGTTTAAACCAAGCAATTGAAAAAGAAACTAATTTTATGAAATAAAAAAAATCCCAGTTCAGAATTTGAAATAACTTTGTTTTGGTGACACTTGCAGATTAACAGGGAAAAAATGCTATTCAGCATTACTTATTTATTTTTTTACAAGGGAACATTAGGTCCTTTGAAGCAGTCTTTGCCCACCCACTCTTTAGAAAAGTTTAAAAACAAACATTTATTTCTTCAGAAAATCATTTATCCCATTTTAACCATATCATGACTTGTGATGACCTTTCAGGTGTTGAGTGGTCACCTGCATATCAAATTAAGAATTTAAGTAAAACCAATAATTCTGACAATTTCATCAATTTTTAACTCGGAAATATTATAAGATTAAAATTTTGCCATTTGTTGTAATTTTCAAAGAAAAAAAAAAGGATTCAACTTTCATTTCTGCACACTTCTGAGTAGCCTATAAACATAAATTATCTCCCTTTGAAAAGATGTCTTGTGGTGCATTGGTTTTATCACTACAGTCCTTCCTTGCCTATCTTTTATGTGGTATGAAAAATTACTAATGAAGCTCAGCGTTGAAGATAGCTGTAGTTAATATTTAAGTACAGTTGGATATAGCAGATTATAAACTAAAGTTGTGTGAGCAATAACTTCTTGTTTCTCAAGCTATTGGGTAGAGGAATCTTAACAGGAAGAAGGCTTAAGAACAAATTGTAGATCTGCAATTTTTTAGTTTCTTAAAATGTTGTTTTTGCTCCTTAAAATGTTTTAATGTTAAATTTTCTATAACAATACATCAAGTAAGCTTAGTGAGGTTTGGCTAGCATGGTGACAGCAAAATATTCTAATGACTCAAATTCTTATTTATTGAATGTTATTGTTAAGTTAAAGAACTGATTATGTATTGAAAAAAAATTATTTATTAAATTGATTTCAAATAAGAATATTAGAAACTTGGAATACATGGCAGATGCCATTTTGAAAGTGAAATCCTAGGTCACTGATAATTCTTTAGACATTTTCCCTTTTTCGTGTGTGTTTGATTTATTCTCTAAAGTTGTGACTAACATAATTGGCAAAATAAAGTATGTTACAGAATATTAATCAAGTAAAACTGACTGGATATATATAAAATTAAAATTTCTGATCAACAGTGAAAAAAAATAAAACTCTAAGATGAAGGGAAGTATTTCTGTTTCTTTAAAACAGTCTCTCACAGCAAAATATTAGAAATGTCACAACCTAAAACCAAAAAGACATCCTAATGAATTTATTCAAGCCCAAACTAGATACTGTATAGTAAGTTTATATTAAGTTTCATACTTTATGGTATTATCACTGTGATAAGGAAATAATCATGGGTTATCAGTCACACCTACCAGGTCCAGAAATGCTTAAAATCAACTGCACACATTGATAATATTGGGAGTGGCCTTTTGCAAAATACAAGTGTATTGCTAATTCTTGTTTAAATCACCTGTTTCAGATTATAACTTTTGTTGTATAATTTAATATGAACTAGCAGAAATGCCACCCTTCGGGCAGCTGTTTGTGCTAGTAATTACTAATCACAGTAATCATACCTCATTAAAAAAATTTAGAAAAAATGAACATTTTCCAAAAACAATTTTTTTGGGGGAAGTACTGCATGGGGAAAGTGTTTGAATTGTGCTCTTTAGTTATATGCAACTCATTGCATCAAAATGATTCAATATACAGAGCTCAAAATGTTCATATATGTTACTGATATAAACTGTAATGTTTTTATATATTAAAAGTGGTACCATTTATTGTAAAAAAAAAATTGTTTTTTAAGTACTCCAGTTGTTCAGTACTACATTTAAAAATTACATCAATAAAGATATAATCAAACCCTCAAGTACAGTCCTTGTGAAAGTCGTGTTCTAGTTATGAGGAAAGCACGATTATTTAAAACTGTTTTTTATTATAAAGAAATGGTTATTGCAAATACCACAGTTATTTTTCTAATTGTCTGAATCTTGAATACCCCCAAGTGTGAAATTTTTTATGGATGTTTGTTTGTGGTGCCATTCAGTAGATGGTGCAGGAGTTTTAGTTACATATATAGATACTGACATGCACCCTACATCCATTATAGTAAGATAATACTCACTGATCTTGCATTCATGTTAATGGACATTGACACCATAAAAGGTTTCTTGTAAACAGTAACGAAAACAGTTTATTAACTAACTCCATACCAATAAAATATACAGTCCTATTTTGTCTTGAAAGTGAATTATGAATGTATTATGATTAGGGCTGTAATTAAAGATAGAGTTTGATCTTCAAGGGTTAGGAACACATTACAGAAAAAAGGTTTGAATCTTTGTTAGTTCTAATTTGCATAATTTACTTATTTACTGAAGATATCACCATAACTACTAGAAATGAATAAAAACCCTATAACTCATGGTTTTGAAAAGATGGACCTTTCGAAAGCGCTTGGGTTATAGGGTTTCCATTCATTTCTATCAAGTCTTCTTGAACCTACGTGTTTTTCTAACATCATGGATAACCATATCTACTAGTTTATATTTAATTGAAAATCCTTGTATCTTACAGGTAATCCATATAAATGAAATGAAACATTCAGTTTAACAATAGGTTAAATAGAATAGAAATCATGTTTCTATATTTAGAAAATGGACATTGTGAATGTACACAATACTTGTATAATTAATTCAGGGGTCAGCAACCCATATCTCTATAAATACACTCCCACAAAATAAGAAGTGTAAATTCTCATTTGTCAGAATAACAAAATCTTAATCAAGCATACAGATGGAATGATAATATCGGATTTGCTTTATTTTTTAATTATATATATATATATAAAAGAAACAGGATACATTTGCACTTCACAGCTGCTTCCATTTTACATTAAAATTCCAAAGCCTTTATTGCCAGTGTTACAGTTGTCAACCAGTTAGAATTAAATGTGAAATGTAAGCTTATGTGCTGAGGCCTCATCATACTGTTGGAAATGCAAAGCAATAAATGTTTGGTCTTAGACAAAAACAAAGAAATTGCTCTTA